CCGAAAACCTTTTGTAGAACATTGGTTCCACTAAATCAAACTTATGTTTCATTTCTGCTGAAAGTAATGCAGTCACTGGTGTTTCCTAGTGTCTAGCTGGCTCCTGATGTTTTGCAGTCCGTTTTAAACATTATCGGTGTTCCTTAACCCTAGCATTCGTCAGTCAAGAGGCTTTTCCTACATGTACTACATCACAGTCCGTACACTTCATTTCGTACAGACAATTTTATTGCGCTTCTATCAGTATTATGATCTTGACTAACATCAAGGTAGGCCATTTCTCATTGAATATACAAAAATAAATCTTCGTCATGTTTATTACGAATGCTTCTGTCTTCCGAGGTCCAAGCCTCTCGATATCTAATCAATAGAGAGCCTATGTAGTTCTTTGGAAGACATTCTAGACTATTCTTCACTACATTTTTTACTATCCTTTTCATTAATCTTTTAGGCAGGCTATTTACTACTAGTGTAGGATGAACTAATTTTAACTCATAATATCTGTCATCCTGCGTTTTGATAAGACGCTTAACTCTTTTAATGAGATTCTTACCAGCCATTGGCTTGTTGGTTAAGGTATATACAGTATTATAATTAAGATATCTATCCGAATGTGTGGTTTTCTGAATATATTTACCATTATTTTGCTGTCGTTTTCTTGTCTTCCGACCATACAGCCCAGAAAACCTGTTGTTCAACATCGAGTTCAACCTTTCTGGAGAATGTTATCTTTTTTAAGCGACGTAAATGAAATATATTTGTAAAATTCCAATGAAGTAAGAAAAAAATTTCGCGACTTCGTGGAAATCCCTTTATCAGAGAATAAAACCTGTGCATGCTGTCGATTGTTTAAATAGTAAATAGTGACGAATCAGATCACATTGTCTATTATTATTATTATTATTATTATTATTATTATCATTATTATTATTATTATTATTATTTGCCCCATGGGTTCCTAGTGGAACATAGGGTTTCAGTAGCACATCTCCATTCCACTCTGTTCTCTGAAATCTTTTCAACCTGGCTCCACGACAGCCCACAACCTCTCATTTCCTCCTCGCACGATCTCCTCCATGTCACCCTCGCCTCGGACTCCCAACTCGTCGCTTCCCACGGGGGTTCCACTCGAGGGCCTGGCATGGCGCGTGATGTCCCAAGTCGGACTTCTCAGTGTATACCCATTCCATCTCCACTTCCTTCTGCATATTTGTTCAGCGATAGCTTCTTGGTTGGTTCGTTCCCAGAGTTCCTTGTTGCTTATTCTTTCTGGCCATCTGAGCTTCAGTAACTAGCCAGCATAGGCAGTTGTTGATGAATGTCTGTAGTTTGTTGGAAATGCTTTTCGTAACGCACCAAGTCTCTGAGCCATACAGAAGCACTGACTTGACGTTGGTGTTGAAAATCCGGATCTTGTTCCACATGCCGAGTGCAGAGGATCTCCACACTGATTTCAGGCTAATGAACGCCTGTCTTGCTTTTCCGATCCTGGATTTAACGTCCTCGCCTGTGCTGCCTGTAGTTGAAACAGTGCTTCCTAGATAGGTGAAGGAGGTTACTTCCTTCAAGTTTCTCCCGTTGGTGGTGGTTGGAGCTTGTTTTTGTTGTTGTTGTTGTTGTTGCTGGTTGGGTATCTTCAATACCTCAGTCTTCTTTACATTCACTTGAAGTCCCGTCTTCGCTGCCTCGCCTCTCCTGTCAACTTGTTAGTTTTCGCCTCTAGATCTTCAAGTTTGTGTGACACTAGACATAAGTCATTTGCGAAATCCAAATCTTCTAGGATCTTTTCCCCGATCCAGCGTATCCCCCTCTTCTCACAGCTCCTCACTGTTTGTTGCATGATCCAGTCCAGTCCACTACAATCAGGAATATCATGGGTGATAGTAGGTGACAGCCTTGGTTTACTCCTGTCTTCACTTCAAAAGCATCAATGAGCTACCCATTGTGAATTACTTGGCATGTGGCGCCTTCATATAGTTGTTGAATGAGGTCACATTGCCTATATGTGATGATATTAATATGAACATAAATGTCATTGTTATGTTGGTTAGGAAGTGTTCAAACTTTTCTTTGTTATCCATTATTAATCTGAAGTTCAAGGTGATGTGAATATGTGCACATGTGACGGTGTGAAAGTGTAAGAACATTACTTTGGATAACAAATTCGGTTTTATGTATGTAATTACTTCTGTTGTGATCATTGTATAGGATGTTCTGTTTTTGGAAATACTGTCCAAGTTGGTTGGATAGTTAGGCCTTTCTTTCTGTTGAGTGCATTGAGACTCAACATAATGGGAAATATCGCAGCTATTCTTCTTTCTTCGTAGTTCAAAAACCTTTTTGGGTAATTTTAATAATTTCAGTATGAATTTTGTGACTATGATAGATGGCATGAACCGCTATTGCTGACTTGATTTATAAATTCTCTAATCATACAGGACTATTTTGCGGTTGTTTTGTGTAATTTGCATGTTCTTTAGCCCTAATGAGGATCTCACGGGATGATTCTCCAACATAATATACCTCACAATCGACACAGCCTAATTTGTAGACACAATTTTGTATGGAGATAAGAGGAATTTCATCTTTTACGTGGACCAGAACATTCCTGAGTGTCGGTCGTCTTGTAAAAGGCTCTAATTCGGTGCTTTCTTACGATTCTTCGTATCTCTTCAGCTGTACCTTGGCGGGATGGTAGAACTACTGTGCTAGTCCAAGAATCATCATTTGAATTTACTCTTATTCAACTCTATCAGGTCAAATTTTGATCGTGAAGTTTATAGATACAACTTATGTGTCTAAAAAGTTCGTCTAGCTTATCACGTTTAACGATGACAAAGGTCTCATATGTTTATCTTGACCGAATTCCTAAAGTAATACAGCATTTCATTTAGTGAATGTTTACACAAATTAAAAGGAATCGCGAACGCTGAAGATACGGTTGTCCTTCCTCCTGTGTGTTTGTATCGATTTCCTTTATATGTAGAACGTGTTGGTCCGAAATAGAATTCCAAAAGACTTTAAGATTTCACTCTAGTCTAATGGACAGTGATTTTTTAGGTAAAAGTCAGGTAATTTCCATGACGATGTACAAGTTACTAGACGTATCCTTTATTCACTGGTATTTCGAGAACAAATAATTGCTCTGTTTCAACCGATAGGGAACAATTTCGACATAGTGACTCCAAAAGTCAATCAAATAAACAAGTGAATTTTCTTTTTTTTCACATAAGAGTGAACCAAATTGGCTGTTTAAGTAGACATTACCTTGACCCTCCGAATTGCTCCTCTTCGTTTTATGGAATGCCACCTTGTTCGATGAAATGAGGAATTCCAAATGATTATTTCAGTAGTTCGTTTGGTAGCCTTTGCAGTTATTCAAAAATATAGCAGATGAGGTTACTAGGGTGGCCACTAAGATTTCATATGATTGTATAATGAATTTGAACCAATTAAAAATGTCTGATAAATTTGAAATAATTTATTCAGAAATATATTTGGTTTTCTAGTGAGTAATTTCACTTCATTTAGTTATAACTGTGTCTACAATAGTAATTATCAACAAGTCACTTATTTTAACTACGCATACTTCAGTACTTACAGTTATCTGTCTAGCTTTGTCCAGAATAACTGGATTGTAATACATTTGTATTCTGAATGTCTGCATTAGTGCCATTATACTTTAGTTTCTTTCTGCGGATCCGTTCAAAATTTACTTTATGTACCTGACATTGCGTTGCTTATCAGGACCTGACTAACTGAAAGAATCAATGTAGAATCTAGCACACAGGTCCATCGGCTCAGGTTGTCACAGTTTACAGTAGTATACGATGAAGAGATACATAGAAAATGAGTGAAATAGAAGTAGATAAAGTAGTGTGAGAAAGCAAACAATCTGAAAACAAAGGTTAGTGAGAATATTCAAGCTTTGGAAGACGTCAAGTGGTGAGTAGATCTGCACCATTGTGACTGATTTTCAACCATATCACCTAGGGTCCTCAACCACTGATTCCTTTCGTCTTAGTGGGTGAACCTACACAGGTAGTCTACGTCTCTACAAACAACTCAGACCAGCAGTCAGGGACTTCATCGACTGGTATCACGTCTTGATCTGGCTACCTGGAACCCTCTTCCAACCTGACCCAACTTTCCTAAGCATGGCACATTGAGGTTGGCGGTGGTTTGCTCGACATGCTCGCTACATGTCCAAATCATCTCAGTTGACTAAGGTTCACAACCTCATCTAACTACTTGCCTGTCTTGCCTAGTACCCAAAGTCTGGCCTCAACTTCGCTCATACGATGATCCCACAGAATGCGAGCAATCGTATGAAGACACCTGTGATCAAACACCTGTAATCACTTCATATCCTCTGCTTTTAACGACCACGTCTCACAGCCATATAACAAGACAGAACGAACTGCAGCATAGTATATTCGTCCTTTAGTCGGATATCTCCCCAGTCGACACTACAGATGATCCAAGTTGGCAAACGCCAAAAGGACGTTCTCTGTCCGAACTCAGATTTCATCAGCGACCAGACCCTTCAGACTGATGCAGCTTCCGGAGTATGTGAAGTGGTCGACACATCCCACCACTTCACTCCCCATTGTTAAACTGGAAGTGCTTGCAGCAGACCAGTTGTGGGGGATCATCTGACAGTTGACAGGTGCTAACGAAACGCATACCAAACATACTCAGATTTCTGCTCAACGCGTCCAAGACTTGTAGTTATGTTGACTAACCACATGGAACTCTTGAGAGTTACATTAGGTTTTACTTTGACTTAACATAGAAGTAGTTTTAAGAAAAGTTGAAATTATATTTTCAGTAGATGGATTGACTTGTGGCAGTCAATAGTTAATCCTTCACTTTTGGGATTTTCTAGAAATACATACAGTTCTTTATTGAACCAGACATCTTGAAATTAATGAAAACAATACCAATAAAACAAACCACTGAAGAATAATGGTGACAGCAAACAGGATTCACTGACTTACAATAAAATATGATGAGATAAAATAGCCATAATATTACACCTGTGAATAAACAACCAGCCAGCAAAAGTTGACGAGATTTGTTTCCAGTTATTTGTTCTGATATAGTTTTAAATCCATAGGGTCTAATCATCCATTGGTCTTTTTCTTCAGACGGTCTGCAAGAAATCAGATAACAATACAAAAGGCATATTGCATCTAAAAGGTTTTGAAGACTTCCTAAAATTAGAACCGTACCTCAAACTTTGTTTTTACTTGATTCTACCAACGGTGTTTAATAAATTTTCAGTAGCCTAACGTAAATATGAATGGGTTACTAGTAAGGCTATACAAATAAAGTTATGGTGTCCACAGCACCAAGACGCTAGATTTTTAGTTTACTTGATAATTATAATAATTTGGTTGGTTGTGGCTAACAGAGAAATCCAGGACGCGAACTTCGTACCCATCACTTCAAACGCCAAGGCGTTATCCGCTATGCCAAAAAACAGCGGAGAGTAGTAAGTATGTCAATAAAAAGTAATTACTTGATAAACATCAAAGCTACTTTTACAGAGGAAGATGTCAATACCCACTTTGAAAAAAATGAATGTGTGGTGCAAAATAAATTACTAGCTTAGAAGTAGGCCATCAGAAATGTGTAGGAAATTCAACAAAACAGATGGATTACCTTATCCTTGCTCAGCCAAACGTTCCTAGAGAATGCTGTAATGACCAAGCGGAACCCAAGAACCTAGTCTCAATTTACTGATGAGTGTTGTAAATTCTCGAATGAATGATCTCATCAAGTATGATTCAAGGTGGTGTCAGATTCTCTGATTCTACCGTTTTTGATGCACCTATGTCCATTACGTGGTTTCAGTTGATGATGTTTATTTAGTGTTCCCCCTCCCACACTCCACAGCTTCAGAATTTGCTATCTCATCAGACGTAAATTGCTACTGCTTTTGACTAAGATTGGTGCATATTAATCTTGTGTTTCCCTGACTAGTCCTGGATTTCGAATCTCCATTTATTTCCATATAATCAAAGTATATCATACCATTATTATTACTAATAATTCATGTCAATTGTAGGCTGTCTGTAGATAATGAAGTGTCGTGAAATAAAATGTTTCATTTTATTCAGCATATGTTTTTTTTTTCAGCAGAACTAAACGTGTGACATTGAAAATCCAATACAAGCTCTCTTAGGCACACGCACTACAAGTGGTTTGAGCTGAACAAAGCCCGTCGATTCTCACTGCAACTAGAACACCACATAATTTGTAGATGGATTTGAAAAGCATTGAATTGCATTAGCTTTCACTCACAAAAAAGCTGACTTAAAAATTGTTTTTCTTCATAGACTACAAGATGTGGAACTAGTTCATTCCTAATCAGAGTTTTTTTCCGACTTATTCATCCCTCCGCTTTCATCTAGGAAAAAAGTATGTAGGTAGATTATGGATACTGAATATTCACTGAACTCTAATACTGCTTTTTATGCGTGAGAGGTAAAAGACAAAACGGTCTACAGTTTGCTGGTAGGTGGTTTAAAGCAGTAGGCACAAAGCTCTAGACCAAAGTTTCGTGCTTGTTGCATGTCGTCAGTAAGGCGTATCTGTAATCATGGAGAAACTGTATTTTCCTCATAGAAACAGAGGTTTACAACACCTCATTATTATTACTTATTCGGAAACCAGTAATATCTTAACTACCAAGTATTAAATAGGTAGACTCTTCTGCACTTTCCCTTCAGCGCTCCACATATCCTTCATGAGAACCTTCATCATTTAATTTCATTATAAATTCCCCCATCTGACCGGGTTGTGGTACTGAATAGGCCTTCCTTCTATTCGGGTCAACCTTCTCCGTCTTCACGCTATTTGAAAACACTCACCTTACCATCCATTAATTTTATCTAGTTTCAGTTTTCCTTTATATTCCAACTGTCCAATTACATTGAAACTCTACTTCTTACTGTTAATATTAGTGCTATCACCACTTGATTTTAGCTATCTTTCCGTTACTAATCTACTCATCTGAAGGCCATCTACATGTGCTGTATACTATTGATGATGTCATATTTTTTCTCTCAGCTACTTCATTTCCGTATAAATTTAAAGCTGTCTGCCCCTGGAGATCCTCATTACCATTGAAGTGAATCATTTTGAAGTTGATTTTGATGAGTAATATATCTGTGGAACTGCATTTAATTTATCTTAGAACAAAGACTTATGTGAAGTTCATAACATGTGAATTGAAATGAACTGACTTCATCAAATAATCATTAACCTTCTTAGTTCGAAGACGGCAATCACGAGGATAAATTAGGTAAAAGCTTTCAGAAAGGTGAAAAATAACTCACATCTTTAGATTGTGGTCCAGATAAAATTTGCAAAATATTATTGTCGTCGGGATATAAATTATGCACAATGACCACCAAACCCCACTGATCTGATTTCTTAATTCATATTGTCCAGGGAGCCATGGCATTCGTGTTGCTGCATAACGTGCTAAACCCTTCAGCGGTGATCTGAGCCTCAATTTCATGTCATAATGATTGGCTAAGTAAACTACTGCACACAACTGCATGAATGTGAAAATAAGAATCAGATCATAAAAAATAATTAGTAAGAAAGGTTCTGTGTGGAGTTGTCGTATTGTTTTGTTTTCAATACCTGAGGATCTTGACAGTAATTTATGAAATAAAGTCAACCGACTGAGTTTCATGCATGCATTGAATAGTGGTAAATACAGTTTGTTTTCCTTCTGAAAGGTTTGCGGACTCAGTTGTTGGCTTTCTATGACTTTAGTGAGTTGAAGTTTCGGTTGATACATCTGCATCTTTTGGTCACATTTAGTTAAATGGGGATAACTCAAATTGGTTAATTCTGGTACTGATTCAGATTTATCCCTTTGCTTTACTTCTTCAGGATAGTCTATGCTGAAATTTGGTAGTTCTTCAGGTGATTTAGGATTTGTTTCACTCGATATTTTCACTGCTTTGTAAGAGTTTTTATGCTGAATTTCATCCATTTTAGGTGAATTTATCAGTGGTTTTGCTTTTGCTTCACTAGATCTCTTCACTATTCTGTTTTATTTATTAGAGAAGGTCTAACCATTTTTGGTGGCTCAAACGATCTCATCACCATTGGTTCGATAGATTTTCTTTGTGCTCTCTGTGTGTCTGATTGTGGACGTTCATCTACATTTAATGTTCTAACGATCGATCGTTTTTTTGGTTCACTTGACCCTCTTTGTTTTTTTCCGGTTGCAATTGAGTGATCAACTGAATATCTTGGCTTAGATTCACTAATTTCTGGTCTATTGTCTTCTTCTTCTCCTATGAATTGTTCTTTTCCTGAAGATGTAACTGCTGACCTCCTTTTTTCATCATTATTGGTAGAAGTTCGCGGATAATTAGCTTCTCGATATATTTTAGATTTTCCAAAGTCTTTTAAATATTGAAGAACAGAATTCTCTGATTCCGAGAGGCTAACATCACTTGATAAGTTAGGCGTTTGACTTCGTGGACTTGAAGCCACACTTCGAAGTGCTGAGTTCACATATCTTAGTCCCACTTTGCTCACTTCAGTCAAATAATCTTCATATTCAAAGCTTTTAAGTCTACTTGTATGAGAAGGATGAAATAATCTATTAGGACTGGGCAAAGAGCTTCGACGTCTGACAGACATCAGAAACACAACATTCCCTGTCTGAAAACGATAGTCCTAATAGTCAATTAAACAAAGCTTGAATCAATCAATAAATGTATTCGATTTTAGTGTTTACCAGAAATCAGGCTTAGATGTGCTTTCAGCATGTTGCTTATAGTTTTTACCAAACAAGTATGCAACGGAATAATCTTTTTGTTATTTGTTATCTTCCTGATATCCTACATATTTTCTTGTAACTTTCATGGTAATATAAAACTTATTCCTTTGCGAACTCAATAACTGTATAAATGCTTGCTATGTAACTGTGATATTAACTAACGTTTGGTTGGCCAAAGGAAATTACTAACAAACAAAGGGAAGTCACAATGAAATGTGACTATTATATGAAAATCTAAGAACTATTTAAAAAGGTGTTTATCAAACAGATGCAACTGATCATAGTTTCCTAGATTTTACTACTGTTACCAGTGGATCTATTGAGAACGAAAGTTGAAGGGTAGATATTATAACATGAACTCCGACTTATTTGAAAAGGGGTAAACCCTTTATGAAAAAATTATAATATACAATGTGCTTCCACAGTACTTAATCCCAAATCCAGGATCTGTCAAGTAAAGTATTTTATTTCATAATATCGGCCTATTTAGGATTAAAATGGTGTTTTACAACCGGAGAGATGAACCATTAGTCAATGGGAAAGTACTGAAGTTCATTGATTCATCAAAAGTTATACGCCCCGTTATAAGATGCTGAGTAAAAAAAAAACCAGATGAGCAAGTGAATGCAACCTGTTGGTACTAAAAGGGTAAAAGATGCAAAACAGTAAATTCGAAGATGAAAATATTAAGATTTTCTATCTTTTAAGGAACTGTGTCAATCAATTTTCCTGAAAATTAAATAGCTCAGTACAAAATATGTGGACAACAAAGTATATAACAACTAACTAACTGCATTTGCAAGCAAGTACATTATTAAAGTGAAATATAGACTATAAAATGAACTGTGTTGATGCTTATAGCTACATATTTGACATGCCCCACAAAACGCCAACAATACCACCTTGATTAGTGGATACTATGCGATCGCATTGATGATGATAATGATGGTAAGAAGTGGTGGATGATGAGAATGAAACTGGTGGTGAAAGTATAGAGAGTTGGCAACCTTCTCAGCTATTCTGGCCTGTTTAGAAAATTGATTCAAAAGAAGTATCTATCATTTGGACTATTACTGAGGAAGACTAGTCACTGGTGTCACTTTAGGATAAATTACTTGAATGTTAAGCAGGTTAGTAGTAGAAATAGTTCAGTTGACTTATATCCACTTTTAAGCTTTATGTCACCTATCTCTGCCTGCCCAAAACAAAGATAAAATCCCGTTAAGTACGAATGAAGTAATAAGGGCTGCTGTATGTCTTGAACCGAAAAATATAGTGGGAACTGCCTCTACACAACTTTAGCCGTGGTAATCAGAAATTCCTAATTAAGTACTAGCTAAGATTTGAGAATCAGGATTAGAGCCGTCAGGCTGATATCGATCATTCTAATTTATGTTGTGCAAGAAATCTGCCGACGATTATCATGGATGAATCAACCTAACATTTTGTTTTACATCCTAGTTCACCTTTCGAGTTCTGTGTTTGTCTGTTGTATACAAATTTAAAATTATTCGGTTAACCTGATATTGAAAATGAAATTATATTGCTAAGGTCTAACTCACAGAATATATGGAAACGTAGTTCAAATTTTATGTTAATTCTCTTTCTAAGTAGATTGAAATAAATAGGCTCCAATGCATCAAAGGCTGCTTTTCGTGTCGCCATGACTACAACAACCCACACATCTAAATTTAAAAGTTTGAAACGACACACAAAAGGAAATAACTTTTTGAATACACCAAGGTAATTCATCATCTCAGTCTACAGAAATCATTATTGCTATGGTAGTGCGCAAAGTTTCAAAATATCACCTAAATGATTAGCTATTGGGTGTCAGAATATTTAAAAACATATGCGTGACATTATATGCCATCAGGAATCTACCTATTGTATAACACTTCTTATTAAATAACAGCGGAAACTGTATTTTTCAGTTATCCTCTGTTCACTGTCAAACTGTTGTAATGTTTTCTGGTTTGTAATTTTTCTTAAGCAAAGTAGGTGATTCCTAATTCTCACGACCTCGTCGCAGCTCACAAGCCCCACTACATTCTGTTGTCTAGACAAAATAAATGTTTGTTTTCTTCACTTGTTTCTTCCGCGAGTCTAGTGTTACTAAAGAAATGCTTTAATAAGCCTTCTGTATTTCCTAAAGAATTCAATACATAAAGTCAACGGAAAAGGTGAGAATAAACGAGACAGTGTGCTAACAGGACTATGCAGTTTAGAGCAAGGAGGGTGGGATTTTTCAACAGCAAAACAAAACAAAGATGTATGCAATTACGAGGGTACAGCTAGGCATTATTGTGAATATTATCGGAGAGAATGCCGTAAATTAGTTGGTTTGCAATCCAAAATAACATTTTAAATTTCAACTTTACCATTGATGAAGGCTACTAATAAGAATACATAAAAGTACTCCATGAACACTCCAAGTTTATTTTGCGAATGAAAGTGCAGAAATGTTTTTATGAACTAATAATTTTTGTTCACGAATTTACTATCCACATGTATATACTTCTATTGTCTGTCTTCACATCATAACTACTATTCTCCTGATCACATTTATTGGTAACTTCGTAATATGGTTAAGACTTATCATAAGCGTCTCCAACACTAGAGTTCTCCTTATTTGTTATGGCTAACAGTATATCATTCGCACTTGAATACCTCCTTCCCATATTTCATTTTACGTTGACATTCCTTAAATATATTTTATGTTGTAGTAAAAAAAGAGATTTCATGCTTGGTTTGTGTAGTCTTGAGACGAGATCGTGTAACATCTGCATTGTAGAATATAACTTTTAACATTAGCACCATCAATTGTTTTTTGGGTGATTTTAAAGGCTACCGTAATAACTGCTGAAGTAACCATTCAGATTACGGTATTCTGGCTAGAAAGCGGGCTTTTTATAAGGTAAAGACAAGTAATTGGTTATCTCTGCAGTTACTAGTGTGGCCATCAAAGTTACTCATTTTCTCTTGTTTATCTTGACAGCAAAAAATTGATTATTTGTTCATCGGATTCAAATGTAGTTGTTGAGTTGATACAATTCCTCACTTGTTATTTCGCATTACCTACCTCCTTCCCGTTGTCTGACGAGTGTGGATCAGTGGTACTTTGGATTTTATGAATTACGATAGCATTTCGGGAATGCAGTGCTGTAAATAAAGTCTGTTATATATACCATAACCTCGCTCTCAGATACGGCACAGATGTGGAATTCAAATGTCACATGCGACACATAAATTCATAGTCTTTTTGTTTTGTGCTTGACGTGACAATCAACTTGCAAGTCATTTGTGCCACAGCGCACAATATCCTAGAATTTGTAATTTTACTTATGTAACTACTCTTTCAGGTTGACTAAAACAAGTTTTAATAATCCCTCACAAATAAGCAGCTGACACATACTCGCCATTATTGTGTAGGATTAAAAGTGTTTTAGGAGAAATATCCGGTTGCCGGTGCACTAGGCATATGCACAGTTTATCCAAAAAAATACAGCATTAAACCAGTATGATACTACTAGTTAAAGTCTACATTTCTAGAATTCCAGATACCTACTGTTGTTACATGTAGGGTTATGTGGTTGCTCAGGTTTCTCAGGTTGTATCCAGTCTGTTTTGCTGGAAATTTGCCTCTTCCTTCCTTGTCGTATGTGTTCCACATCTCACTGCGAACAGACAATAAGATATGTAAGAGACATGTCGTGTGATATAAATCAGCATTGCGTATCATGAAATTTAACACAGCATTACAAGCTGAATTGTGGTAATGGTGAATTTCTTCAGTGAAAGAATTCACATAGCAACATGCCATTTTATGACCTTGCCTTCATTATTTATTCAATGCAAAAAAGCACACAAAATATCAGTTTTTATTCTTGTAAAATATTTTAGCTTTAGATTGGTAGAATTTTGAAAAATAGTGCAAAACATATCTTCAAGTCACTGATCCTGCCGTTCATGGAGAGAGACCAGTGTGACTGCGTTCACAATGCCTAACTACAACGAACAGAAACAAAGAATGTTCATCGGTTTGCAACTTCATAATTAGTGAAACCTCAGATTTTTTGATTATGAAGGTAATCGGGAAGGTCTAAAACTCACTAACCATAAGGTTGTCATGGCCGTGAAAATAGTAGATGAGATATTCCGGAAGTTAGCTTGACGCGTTCACACAAAACCATTACTTCTAGGTGCTGGAGTAGAAAAATCCAGATATCCAGCTCTCTGTCGTAATATTCAGCAAGACTTTATGGCTTTGATGTGAAATGTTATGAGCATACATGAATTATGAAGTTCTGGTATCATGAATGAAGTACAACAAACAAACAAATTGCACACATTCCTTCATGAGCTGACCATCATTATCCTGAACAATATGTACGGGGTGTAACGACGGAATTATTGGCTTCAATCTTTATCTCCCTCTAGGTAAAATGTAATGTCCAAACACAAAGCCTGGTCTACTTTGTTGATGCAAAGACAATACTTCCACTTGTCCAGCTTGAAAATTCTGCACAATTATTCTGCTGCGATGCTTCACCTTATAAACATGCAGCACCTATTTATCTGCACAGATATTGCCTGAGTATTAGGTTCCGTGTCTACAAGTTAAGCGCATATAAACACCCACTTGAAATGCTTGCCCTTATGCACATTGCTGTCTACATGAGGAATGCACAGAGGACTACATTTATGTTCAGGAGGAAAATCTGAACAGCCGCCATTAATGCCTTTGCGCAGTCAATGACAAACGTTCGCATGGATAACGTTTCACCCACCATCCGCTTAAGCGTGTCTAACATCCATGTCAGATCTGTCTATTGTTCTCTACCAGTCCGTCGACACATAATTGGACCATTGTCACCTAAATCGTCCGTTAACACTAAATGAAACAGCTTATAGCTACGCTTGCTGTTAATGCTGTAACGGTTGACTTACTTTCCCTTGTTTGCGTTACAGGGTGAGTCAGGATGCAACCTGGGAAACTGCAGGTAGGTGGCTATTCGATCGGCACTGCTGGAGCATACTGGATCACATTGTTGATGCTCACCATCACTCCAGGTTAGCAGCCGACCAACCCTTCCGAATTTATCGAGCACTATTCTTTGAGATTCGTGACCTGCAGAATAAGAGTTATTCAGACCATAAACTACTTGGCATATTTTTCCTTCTGATACCTTCTAACTTCTTCCTGTTAAGCAAAGCGCGTGCCAGTACAACAGATTGGCACTTTAAATTAGCATCTCCCGTATAAAGATTGGATTCTTTGACAGCGTAGTGCGTACTCGTCATCCTAACATCGAGTTAAGCGACTTCTTAGCATACTTTCTGAAAGGTATTTACCGCCTCTTCGACTTGACTCCAGGCAATAAAGTGTCTAGGTTGTATAACCTGCTCATATACGGCAGAAACATCCACAGTTGTTGGTCTAGGCAGGATAGCACTCCTCATAGAGGCTTGCTGTGACTCCATGAGGCTGTGAAAGCGAATAGGTAGTAGACTTTCAGCTGAGGGATAACAAACAGCAATGAAACGTGCTAACATTTTCACCACCTCCTAAAACAATCAGGTAAAGACTGTAAACGTTGAAGTGATTCAGAGATCAGGGGCAGCACAAACAGCACCACGGCTTTTTTAACAGTTTTTAGGATTTGTCCTGGTGCAAACTTGACAGACGCAAAGACCAATCACTGATTATTCGGATTTGTTATATACCCACGAATACGAGATCAAGGAAGAACACGATAGCGTAGTCGGATGGAATGGTATATTTGGATGGTTGTGCCAAAATACCGATGCGTTCCAACTAACTGGCTAGAGAGTCGAATACGAGCAATGCTACGTAACACGACAGCGTGTCGAATGGCGAGGATGCTTGACCGGGTGCCTTCAGCTTAGCGAGTCCAGTTAAACTATCAAGGTCAGCATCAGTTCCGAAAGTCGTCAAGCCCTAGGCTATTGATTTCGGTGAAGTGGGTGATGCTACATGGGGAACTCGAGGACTGCAATGGCTCTGTTTTATACATTAAAGGTCCAAGTACATCCGTATTAGCTCAGGATGCATGGATGGTGTCTAATTGAGTGATAGAATTGTCGTCTATTAGTAGCCTATTAAATGAAGGTCGGAAAAGCGTTAACCAGCTTGCCTTACGGGTTTCTTCTAGGAGCCTATTCCAAGTGTGCGAGAGTGTGTGATGAAGAAATTAACTCTCAGGCTCATCGTACAACACTCAGTTCCAGCTTAAACTTTATGGTTTTGCATATCGTGCGTAGACGTTATAATTAGCTGGGTTTGAGGATCATGAGAGTGCAAGCGCTGATGCTGCAACTAATAATTAAATATGAGGTTCAGCTTAAGTTTCCTCTTCCAGAGTGGTTCTAACCCCAACATGTTACGCCTGGACGTGTAGTCTAGTTTACAGTCAGTTCCTAATGTTCTGAAGGTGAAGTAACGTTGTGCCCCTTCAACTTTCAGTTTATCGCTTCTACGAAGGCCATTGAGAATGAACGGGAAGTATTCTAAAAGTGGGAAAATGCACACTTTATAGAGTAGAACCTTGAGCGATATTTTTTCTCTCCTGATGACTTTCATTCTATCCCCAGCATCCAAGTTGTCATTGGTGACCTGGAAGATCCCTTAAGGAGAAATGAAATCATAAACCATGCAGACGATGCCAACTCTGTAGGTGGCCCAAACTACAGAAGAAGTTTGGCAAAGTGGTGCCAAGGTCATCAATAACTTTTCAGTTTCACTTGATTTTCCAAGTTAAGTTTCTCTTTTCATTTACCGACTGCAGAACTCGCTTAGCGAAACCTAGGGGCAGTGACGTACACGAATTATCTAGGGCTGAGTCTACGAAACAAATGCACGATGCCCCATAAGTCCGCTGTAGTGCTCCTCATCTAAAGAAACGGATGGTATTTTCAATGAGAATAAAATCTCTAACACTTAAATATTGATTGGCAAATCCTCCAACCCGCTCTCTAACCCTGCAGTTCTCAAAATGACGATAGCTGATGGCACTTTTAAATAAAAAGATTGAACAAAAATTTGAAAATGTTTGATCATAGGCAAAAGGAACTGTGGCAAGTACTTGACAAAAAGAGCATTCGCATTCAATTAATGGCAAGCCTTGAACCTGCTGACATCGGATATGTGTTTTAAACAGTGTAGCCATAAAACTGATCCAGAGGTGTTAGCAGTTTGGTAGGGGAAAGATCAAGAACATCCTATTATCAAACCTCAAGAGGAAGTTTTCAGTTGAGCGAAGTCTCTAATACGGCAATCCAACAGCACTGGTTATTTTTCTCCTACTACGCAAGATTCAGACTATGCCTGGCTCCTTAGGACAAACTGCTCACAGCATCCTCTCATGCCAACCTGCCAATGTGAAAATAAAGTATTTACTTATTCACTTATATCCTGAAATCTTAGCTCTGCACCTCTCACTGCAGTCCACATTCCATGGGTGGAAACCGTAAGGTTGGGCTCAGACTGACACGCGTCTCGGGAAGTGCCTGCCCAATAAGCCGGAAAGTGATAGACGCTTGAGTTTGCAGAGCAACAGCGAACTCTCCTGTTGACTGCTTAAATAATATTAACCTTTTAAGGGCCACGACCAAAAACTTAAATTTGAAAATACGAAGGATGACTAGTGGGACAGAACAACATGGTGCTTCCACGTGATGTTCGATGCGGCGGGACGGTGTTTAGGTTTCAGTCGACTTTGGATCACTACACGACAATGATACTTATCCCTGAATACAGACACACATCAGTACAGCCGGAAGTAGATTTCCATACAAATTACACGTATCTTTATAGTAGGTAATCCCAGTTCCCACCTATTCTGCCACCAGGAAACATAGGTACTGCATGTTTATAAGGTGAAGCATCGCAGCAGAATAATTGTGCAGAATTTTCAAGCTGGACAAGTGGAAGTATTGTCTTTGCATCAACAAAGTAGACCAGGCTTTGTGTTTGGACATTACATTTTTACCTAGAGGGAGATAAAGATTGAAGCCAATAATTCCGTCGTTACACCCCGTACATATTGTTCAGGATAATGATGGTCAGCTCATGAAGGAATGTGTGCAATTTGTTTGTTTGTTGTACTTCATTCATGATACCAGAACTTCATAATTCATGTATGCTCATAACATTTCACATCAAAGCCATAAAGTCTTGCTGAATATTACGACAGAGAGCTGGATATCTGGATTTTTCTACTCCAGCACCTAGAAGTAATGGTTTTGTGTGAACGCGTCAAGCTAACTTCCGGAATATCTCATCTACTATTTTCACGGCCATGACAACCTTATGGTTAGTGAGTTTTAGACCTTCCCGATTACCTTCATAATCAAAAAATCTGAGGTTTCACTAATTATGAAGTTGCAGACCGATGAACATTCTTTGTTTCTGTTCGTTGTAGTTAGGCATTGTGAACGCAGTCACACTGGTCGCTCTCCATGAACGGCAGGATCAGCCAAGGTCCCTTCTTTAAATAATTTATTTTCAACTACAACCAAGTCGGCATTTAGAACCGAATTTCTTTTCTACAACGATAAGACACCAAAGCAATGCAGCAGGCTGAGAAAGAAGTTTTTTCCCTGTGTGTATATTTCTCCTTAATTAGCCTACTTGGGTGTGGTGTTCATTGTCCATGCCTTCTCTTTTGAACGTGTTAAAAGATAAAATTCATTCTATTGCATAGTTCGGGACTTTTATTCATGCCTACTATGTTTGGCGGGGCAGAATGTGCCGTTGGTATGGGGTGATAATTTACGGATGTCTTCCAACGGTTCGCATGAAAAGCCAGTGCAGGTGTGGTAGATGTCTCGCTAGACATTCAGGGGGCTTAGTATATGGAGTGCTACAGGAAACAGTGTTGGTGCACTAAGTAAGCCGGATAAGCTGCCAAATAATAGGAATATGTTTGGTAACAGACTAAACTCAGAGGCTGGTTTTAACGTCCTCACTTTAGCAGGAGGTCTGTTCCAAATCGGGAAGAATCCTACAGTGAATAGTTTGCGCGCAAGCAAAATTTTAACTGGTTCACTGTGACACCAACGGTGTGGTTGCGCAGAGAATAACAACTGTTTTGTTCGAACTGAGACTCATCGCTGGCTTTAAAAGTGAATTTCTTTGACAGATCTGAGGAGTGCTAGCTTAAATTTTAACCGTCCCATCCAAGGCGGTTCTAAACTTGTGGTCCTGCATCTGGAATTGCAGTCCTATGTGCAATCGTATCCTAGTAACCCAGCTTCAAAATACCTTTGGACACTCCCTATTTCCAGCTTGCTTTTAATGCGGATACCATTTAATATAAAAGAACACTATCCTAAAAGTGGACGCACGCAAGTTTTATAAGGCAGTAACTTGGCGTGTCTGAGGTGAAAGTTGTGGACTATACAACCCAGTAGGATCCTAGATTTAGGAGTCCGCGATGCAACCCGTTCAGAAAATGCGAGGCCATCTGAGTATCATACCCCAAGGTCACAGACTCCTAGAACAGACAGGCTGACAGACTGAATGTGCGTTTGGATGTCTGTCGAGGGAATCGAAGTTTCCAAGCGGTACGCCATAGAGATATCACATCAAGCCCCCTCTGAACTAATGCTTAGAAGTGGAATACATCAGCATAAGACAATGCAGCTTACAGGTCATCAGCAAACAAGGATGTGTGCTGGTTAGCACGCAAGTACTCGGAGTCCCTAGCTCAGCCATACTAGCCAGATAAGCTGAATAAACTTTTCCCCTATTCATTACTATTACGTTTGTTCCAAATAAATATACCGCTTTTCTGAATATATCCTTGAAACCAGTTCTGTTGTTTTGTGTTTCGTTATCAGTACTTACACGTTAGATAAGGTACTGGTTAAGCGGGTGCTAGAGCACATCAAGCTAAGTAGGGTTGGTCAACAGTTACGGAATAGTAACACACAAATGATTCACCGCGTGTACACAGCTGTAAATACCTTTCACGTGCAAAGAGAAGGGGACGTAACGCACCTCCTTGAACCACACCAGAGGTGATGGGTGTAGGTCTTCAAGTGTGTAGATCTACCTTCACCACTTGAGTGTGATTACCGTGGAAGGATTTACTCCACCCTAATAATGGATAGCAAATCCTTAGAGGCCTCGACTTTCTTGTTAGCAGCAAGTGATCAACTGCACCAAATACCTCGGAAATGTCTAGATAAAGTACAAGGACCATCTGGTGACGGTCACGCATAGCAGTCACGGAGGTAAAAAATCAGAATGACAGGTTGTGCGGCACCTCGGTCTTAGGTACCTATGTCGACCGGATTTGATAATGTTGTTACTAAGCACGCGCTGAAGAACGTTTTCCTCATTAACTTTCTTCATAATTACGGAAACTACATGTGTAATGTATATTGATCTATAGTTACCTACCGATGTTTTTGAACAGGATCTACATTGTGATGGGATAAATGATATTTTCCAAACACCAGGATATGTGAAATATTCTAAGGATATAGACTCTGGAGTATATGGATTACTAACGTACCTTACATAGGTGGCAACTTGCTCCTTATTAGCGTATCAAACATCTAGAGCCCAGGAAGTTGTAAATCAATGCAACTGCTTAGGGGCCCTGTCTTTTCGATCCCATAAGGTTTTTATGCTTCTCAATTTCGAAATACCGAGCAGCTTTAGAACAAAAATCTTAGTGCACATGATACATAGAATTAAGAATGTATGCTTGCAGTCACGCAACACGTTCTAGAAAGTGTTTGTGTGGAAATTGTGAATACGGGTACCTCATCTATACAACTGAAAATATTGTGCCAACTTGCATGTTCGTGTCAAAGTTATCTACCCACATAATCGTCCCGATTCTGCGTATGCGGTAATAAAAAGCTTCCTGCAGCGGAATCCTCTGGACTGACCCACGTCGGAGAACTGAAAAATATTTAGAACGCGAGAACACCTGTGTGCTGAAGTTGTGGAACGAAAGTAGTTTTGTTCAGCTCTTTACTATCCTATGTACATACGTGTTCTCATTGCCTCCTACGTTGGTTGCTGATTTTTAGGTTAGCGCTCGTTTGGATTAACTTTGCACGATCACCCCTGTTCCCCTCCAATTAGAAACCTTCCACGTGCTACTCTCTTGTCCTTCTGTGGAGGACCTACCGTCTTCCTGCCGCGTAACAGGACAAGTCAATTTTACGGTATAAATCAGGGCAGACTATGGTCTGAGTGGAGGCAAAATGGTCATAAATACTGTCTGACCTGTGAAAATGCCAAAAGATGACAAGTGTGAAACTTGGGCACTGTGGTAGAATGTAATGCCATATTAGATTTGTTTATTTGATATATATCGCACAGTGATGCAGTATTATTTACTTGATAAGCCGTATCTTCCGAACTCCCCATAAATGTATCTGCTGCTATAGGGATATTGGTGATCCCATTGCTACTCCTTCTGTTTGTCTATATATCTTTCCCTGAAACTTGAAGGCTGTCGAGGTCAGGCATAACTGCGCTCCTAACATGATTTCATCAGCCGATGCCTTAGTGAGTGAGTTGTGAGTCAGTATCTAGTTGATTTCTGGCTGCCTCCAGTGCCATATTGATTGGTATTGTAGTATAAAGACTTTTTACGTCAAACTAACCATTTTTCATTCTCTTCTGTGTGCGGGTAATAATACTGTATCACTGTGCGCTACATATCAAATCAAAAAACCTAATGCGGAAAAGATGACAAGGTCAGTGATACACCTGCGAACCTGGTCAGGTGGTAGTAGGGTGGGAATATTTCCCGAACCGTCAGATTGATTGACAGTAGTTCAAAAATATTTAGAAGCTGAAGAAAGAAGGCGGGAAGGTCGTGGTAACCGACCAGCAATCATGATGGCCGAGAGATAAACTTGAAATACCTCCACTTGTATGACTGTATCTTTATGCAACCTGCGGCTGTAGTACTTATCATGGTTTTTGGATGCAAAACACGCTAAAATTTAAGGTTAGATGGTAGGAAATAAAAACGAGGCGGGTTGGCGAAATGATTCCCCCTGTCATATATGGAAGGCCGTCAATTGGAATTTCTTCATGGGGTTCCTGGACGGGGTCGTCCTACGCCGTGGTGAACCAGCAGAATTTCGGCGATCCACCTTGTAGCTTGAAGGCCATGAACCCTTTGCACTTGTTGGAGGCCGCCCAGCAACATATCGAGTAAGAGGCTGAGAAAAGTACCGTCCCCGTTTTGTCGATCTTAAATGATTTACATATCTTCTCCAAATTTCTAGACCAACTTGCACTTCGGACTTCAAACTTAGTGTTGCAAAATTAGTGTACGACGCCTCCCAAACTCTGCGTCTGTCTTACTGAAGTACGTTCGAGGTTTTAAATGGCTATAGTTGTCTTCCAGGTTCTAAAAAACCTGAAAGGTCAGAGATAATCAATTGATAATCGGTCTGTTCTCAAGGTATTATTACTTCCAATCTATGAATGACGGGAGGCTTTCGAGTACAGCCCACTGAACCACGAGACCCTGAATGTACGTCTAGCTTCTTTTTGAAGGTAACGTGGGATGGAGCTGTAACAGCTGCCAAGGGAAGAGAGTTCTACAGTTTTGAAACTCTAACTGAAAAGCAGCCAGGATCGCTCGTTGTACATACTCTCCGGTTCCCTACCGTTAACAGGTTCCTCCCGAGGGTGGCGTTTATGAATCAATCCCAAGAGGAATTTGTTTGAATGAGGTTGCCCGTGGGCAATGTGAAACATCATGATGATATCCCTTCTGATCCCTTGGTATTATACCGGAAGCGCCCTCAGGGCAACTAAGCGACCCAGGTACGGTTTTTACTATAACCCAATCACTTTTCTCGTAGTTATTCTCTCGGCCGGTTCTAGGATGGCTGTGTTCTTCACGTATGTGGACATGATGATGGAATTCGTTTCAGGATGAGGACCAATATGGAGTTAGCACACTGTGGTCAAAAGGATCAGAGTTGGACCCCCTAAAGTTCACGAAAGAAACCCCAAGACCCTGCAGTCCCTGTTGCCAGCGTGGTGACAGCGGACCAAAGCCTCAAGTGTGTCAGTTAAAGTGACTCCTGGGGCTTGTTACATGTTTAAGTGACAGATATTTATCTCATTCAGCGAATAGGAAATGAAAATTTTCCCGTATTTGTGAACAACCATTATCCTGCACCTCTCCTGGTTGACAGGGAACCAGTTCTCTGACGTCCAGTTTAGGATTTTGAAAAGGTCGTCCTGGTGGATCAAAATATCCGTCGACTCATGTATTTCCCTCCAAGCCTTCGGACCTCAGTATCCTTAAGGTAGAAAAATTGACCGTAACTTGTGAGTAAATATAGGGGGGATCTCTTTCTAAGTGTTATTTTTTGAACTAAATAGCTCTTAATTTGGAACTGTGTGTATCTGGCAGTTACTCCTCCGTTGTATAACCTGTATCACCGTAGCAGGGTAGCCCATGTATGGTGAACAGCATGCTCGCCTGACTCCAAACGACTTTCAGATCCACTTAGTTCTATTGCTGGAAAGTCTGTTCTCGGGATTCCTCACGACCGCTCTTACGTCAACTTGTCTTATTTTCGATACACTAAGATTCCCGTTAACTCACTTCTTCGTGCTGAAACGTACTTAGTATTCAGGAGTCTGTGTATACGCCCATATGCATGACTCTTACTCATTCCTTACCCACTAGATTCTAGTTTAGACATATCGATTGATATGCTCCGCCGTTCAGACAAATAGTTCCAGCTCTATGCTTTGTACTTATTGTGCATTAAAAGGCATTGTTTACCGCCTCATTGCAGCTTATTATTGACAGAACATGATTTTCATGCAAATCTCTCAAATATGCATCCGTGTTCTTTTTCTCTGATCATTCTGTTCGTACCTTGTTACTCACTGGCTTAAGTACGCGATAAATTGTCTCATACCTGGTGTAACGGAAAAATGATCTGAAAATCCCTCCTGATCACCCTATTTGATGGTATCGACATTTATTTGAATATTTTACCCACGTTATGGATAGTACCTTTGACCCTAGCCGGTGTAATGCTGTTTGCTCGTTTGACTGTCTTCTTTGACTCTGCACTCAGTATTTGCCTTTGCGTGATTGAGACTTATCATGAATGCTTCACTTTCCTATTATGTGACGCTGGACTGTTGACAAGATGATGTTGTTTTACTGCACTCGGCATTTTGTTTTGGCTCAACTTACGGTTGTACTGTGATTTAACTGTTTGTCTTTTGACTGTCTACTGGGAATGTTTATTCGTTGGTTTGATTCTGATAGACAGAGTTTTGATCCCTTTTGTCGGGAATATTCTCACTGATAGGTACTTAACAGTTGTATTTGTTTAGCCAGTTTTTACCGTATAGTGGGTATTTGCACCCGGGAACGTTTGGGCTGCATAGTCACTCAAGGGCGCTGCTGAGGTATTTTTGTAATTTCGATATAACTTCTATTCTCTCTATTCTATAGTGATATCTTTGGCTTCAGTTTGGTTTCCACTACTTTTGTATGCACCTTCATCTTCTTCCCCATAAGCTTATCTATAAACAGTAGGTTTCAGATACCTCTTCAAGTAACTTTGTAGTCAGTACAATGAACTCACCTACATGCATCATGGTCGATGTACTTCTGCGTAGTAGTTCTGTGCTCCTGTTCCGAACTTCGTCTGCTGCTCGCTTTTGTTATTCATTTTTCAGGTTTACCCAACCAGTCCTTCATCCATATGGAATCCTAGTAGTCTAATTTGTCAGCGTGCACTGTGCCATCTAGTCCTTATGACGAACGCATAAAGCCCAAGGTCACTGCTGTACCACCAACCCTACCTTCAAGAATATTGGAAGATTCAAACAATAGCCGAATATTTCCTACTTTCTAACTGAGCCTGCCTCAGTATGATGAACAATTATGCTGGTGTTTATCTGTTCCATTCTTTGCTGTCTGTAAAGAATTAACTTTCTTACTCTAGACGCATCTTTTACGCACCGGAAAGAGCGGTGTCCATTGTACAGCTTGATTTGTACATAA